GCTGACTTTGGGTAACTTAACCCCTTTCAGCCTCATTTTCCTCATGTGTAAAACAGATTGCAACTATACCTCCTGGATAGAGTTCGTGAGGATAACCTGGCATAATCCACGTCAAGCACTTTTCATGGTTAGATGAGCACATAGTAGAGGCTTTAAAATGTTGAACATAATTGCTATCTCTTAAGGATAAGATATATTTTCACAGGAGGGGGGCCACAGGCCTTGTATGCTTACTTTTCAGCCTCTATTCACTTTCAAGATACTCTATTTAGTCCTACCAATCAATAAGTTTATACCTGTTTTTAAAAACAATATACTGGTCAGACAACTTCTTCAGTTTGTTTCTCTGTTGTCCTGTGTTATTCCTTACAGGGACTATTTAGTGTCTTTCATGGTGGGGAGAGGGAGGAAGAATCAGTTCACCTGCAGTATGTTCTCCTAAATGTGATATGTGCACTTCTAAAAATCATGATGCTATGCAAAGCCACTTAATTAAAACCATAGAGTTTAATAAAGAGGTATAACACACATGTACAAAACTCCTTCAGTGTCTCATTTAAAAAATATAAAAGAACCTAATAAAGATTGTAGTACACTGTATAGATGTTAAATGGCTGAAAAAATTTAAAACTGCAATAATACGGCACTACCTTGAAAAAGGTCTGGTTTGTGCGTGGAACTGGACGTGAGAAGGCTGCACTTTATGATTGCAAAGTGGCGGAAGATGAGCCGGCTGAGATCACACAGGAAGTGGAAACATGAAATGGGGAGGGCGTGGCTCAGGCTATGAGGAGAGGCAAGGCTGCCGGGTGACTAAGGTGTGTTCCTGTGCACTTGTGAGTCAGCCAGGTGAGCTATTCTGTGCTCACCTGCTATGTCCCAGATGAAACTGTGCATGAGCACAGGAGATTCACATTATGCTCAGATTAGTCCCTGACATAAGAACAAATTCCCATTTTCACAACGAGCATTATAGCAGGACTAACCGTATTTATTCCCAAGCTACGAACTCATGGGTGAGAACTGTAGTTCATACCTGTAAAGCCTGTGGTGCTTGTCTCTTTCCCACCTGCTGGGTCCACTTCCCACCCGCCGGAGGTCTTTACCTAGAACACACAGTCTTTTCCTGTTAGTACTAAGCCATCATGCAACACTATCTAAAACATTTTTTTTTCTTATCACTCACCTCTCCTTTTGTTCTGTATTTATACCTTGGATTTTTTCATATAAGGGAATATTTAACCTTCTGTGACTTGATTTATTTCACTAACATGGTCTCAGGGTGCATCCATTTTCCTACAAATGACTCAAATTGATCCTTCTTTATGGCTAAATAGTACTCCATTGCATACATGTACCACACTTTTTTCATCCACTCATCTGCTGTTGGACATCTGGGTCACTTCCAACATTTAGCTTTTGTGAGTTGTGCTGCTATGAATATAGGTACGCATATATCGCCGCAATATGAAGTTAACTCTTTTGGGTAAATATTCAGTAAAAGCACAGCTGGGTCAAATGGAATGTTTATTTCAATTTTACCTAAAACATTTCTTAATTACAGCTTTGCGTCTTTAAATCCCTCTGCCAGGGTCATGTCTAATTCAGAAAGCCCCACTTCATTTCTTTATACCTGCCCTCAAATGTCCAGAGAAGCCAATGTCTGCTAGTCAGTAATAACTATGCTATCACTTCATCATGATTTATTAGTCACCAAATATTTATTTGGTTGGTTGGTTAGATTTTTTGAGTCAGGGTCTCACCATAGTTAAAGCTGGCCTTGAACTCACAGCAATCCTCCTGCCTCAGCCTCCTAAGTGCTGGGATCAGAGGTGTGTACCACCACACTCACCCAAAAGTCACCAAATATTTATATCAAACATCTACTAGGCAACACAGGAGAAACAAGATAAAATTATCCCCTGTCTATCATGTTAAGAGAAAGTGTTTAAATAACTTAATCATTTAAACTCAGTCAACGTCATGGAAGTAAAACATTATAACATGCATAAAAATAAATATAACCTAAGGTAAAACCCAAAGTACCAAAAGAAAATGCAAAAAGTACAAAATGTTATTTTCAATGCTTCAGAAAAAGACAAGGAAGGCTGATGGTGGTGGTGGTCAGCAGCCCTTATGGATGAAGTAAATTCTGGTTATGAAGGAGAGACTTCATAATTACAGTCTGAGCAAAGAACAAGAGGCAGGAAATAGAAACCATAATAGATAAAGAACAAGAAATTTAGGACACAAACTAAGACATGTGACCACAAATGATAAACCACACACCACACAATGAATTTCATAAGATAGGAAATGGGAATCCACTAACAACTTCTAGCCAGAAAACTGTGGCGTGAGGTAAGAATGGGCAAAATAGAGCTGGCTTTCAGGGACCCACTTTGAATAAGTGAAGAGAATTGAATCAGTCTTTGGCCTGCCAGGCCAGAGCAGCAGGCCAGCTTCCCTCACTCACACCCCCCGACTTTGTGCCTAAGACTGATACTCCCAGCTCTATTGAATGGACATAAATTATATGAAGTGGTGAACTAAACAAAAGCTATCTGGAAAATAACAAAAAGCCCTTTAAAAACAATGAAAGACAGTAAAGAATACAACAAGCATTGTAACCAGAGATTTAAATCTAGTGGAGTCATATAAATAGCAATGTTAAACATTATCATTCTGAATTATGTCTAAATATGTTACACAATGTATTTCTAGTAATCAAGAATACATAGGCAAATAGTCTTAGAAGCAAACCATTTTTGAACAAACACTCACTGGTGGTCTGAGGTAAGCTTAAGAAAATGCAATCCATTCTGTTCGGATCTTACACTACCAAGTGTAGAGGCTCAATAATGGGCCAATTGTTTTGAGGTTTGAGACAAAACATGGACAATTAAAACTACCCTAAGTTTTTCTAATCAAATCCTCAAATCTAGTTAATATATTCTGTACCTAAGATACTGTATACAAAAGGCACAAATATAACCAAAAGAAGAATTATAATTTCATCTAGGCGAGCATTTAATTTCTAAGTACATTCATGTCAAACCAAGCAACTGAAAATAATACATAAACCTATGCTCTACAATAAAAAAGACATTTTAAAATACTTAGTTGTTTAATTAAAAATATCCTACAGGGTAAACAAGCAAAGGACTATCTCATCTACTTTACTATATCCCTGCCTGATGTTTTTATACAGCTCAACTCACAATAATTTAAAAGGCTAAAATATAATGAACTGACTTTCATCTCCTTAAAACCTCAAGGCAGTTCCTTCACTAAACTTACCTACCTTGATGAATTAGTGACAAATGACATCCCTGAAAAGTAAACTAGATAGGAGCCTTCCCTATACAGTTTATTTCAGAATTATTTATACAGAAACAAGACGAAACAGCTTGACCTCTTTCTCATCATTTCTTCTAATACACAGTTTACTTACGGTAAACTGAAGAAACTGTTTCCAAATCTAGCTGCTGAAAAACTGAAACCTCTTTTAAACCATTCTAGGTACAGTATATACAAAGATATCCTCCTGGAAATGAGGCCACCCAGGTCAAAGAACAAAATATTTCACATTCCATTCTTAGAAACTATATGGGTTTATAATCCGCGTGACACTGACACTTGCCTTGGAATCTAGCCAACAGAGCTGAGCGAAGCTTTCCAGCCAGAGTAGGAGTAAATCAGGCTATAAACGTTTCAAGGAAACTCACCTGTTTATGCCACCAAAAGATGGGTGGGATGTTCCTGTGGGTAGTTTATGTGGTACAGAAGTGTCTTAGGAAATAATAGACACAATACCAAAAAAATCAACACATGTAAGAATGTATTTCCATAGAAAAAGATCAATTAGTCATACTCAAGGTACTAAACTGCTGAACACACTACATTTCCCAGCACCAAAACAGTCAACTTAACTAGTTATTTACCTTTGCTTTCTATCTAGTATGTTCAGTGACAATGTTATCAGATAATGTTTATTTTTAAATTTATCAACCTTAACCTTCATGTAATTACTAGTAACAGAACAATAACAAAAAGGTTTCTTCTGAAAAAAATTAAATGCAACAAATAAACCAAGAGCCACAAAAATAAAAGAGATACAGAGACCTCCATATATTAAGAATCACAGGTGTTTGTCACAAAACTCAAATGTGATATTTAAAACATCACAATTATAAACTTGGACTTTGAACAGTTGTTTTTATTGTTGTTGTTGTTAAGAATAGGAAAATTTTATTGAGAGAAAGATAGCTTCTGCCTAAAAGAGACAGAAGGAGGACTGGAGAGTGGGTCTCCCCTTGAACAGTTGTTCTCTAGAAACTTCCAATAGTTGACTAAACATTTACAAGTTCCATTAATATATGTGGATTTATTTTTTTAAATACTTTAAATACACACATTCAAATTCCTTTTAGGTCCCAAATAAAATGTTTGCACAGAAATTTGGCAGTGTTAGGTCTATGGATTTAAAGCCAGTAATAATCTAAGAAGGTTAAACTTGGTTAATAAGCAAATTTTCATAGTACAACTAACACTATACAAATAATCCAAAGCAGCTAACATTTATAAAATGACCACAGTATTTTATATATAAGATTAACTACAAGGTCATTGTTAGAAAACTTGATACTATGTCTCTGCGATTCCCACTATTAACAGTTAACAGACCTCTTCTTAGCTATTAGATGAAGAAGAGAGAGTATTCTTTTAACCACCAAGACCCAAAGGAAGGAAAGTCTTTAAATCTCATCTCTGTAAACAAGAAGATAGGCGACAGGTCCCTGTGGGGACTGGGGTACAGCCAACTTTATCAAGTTCAGATTCCATGTGGAATATCAAAAAGGAATGTTTAAAAATTGTTGAAGGACTTACTTGGACTAAATGTATTACTATTTGTTTCAAAATCTACAAACACCTTCTCTAATAATTATGCCTCTGACAGCCCTCTTTAGCAAAGGAACTATTCACAAACTCAAACTTACCTGCCCACACCGCTCAGCCAGATCCTCTTGCGATCCTCAAGCAGCAGTGAGAGGGAATTCCTCTAGGCTCATTTATGTGCCAAGTGACCTTTGGTATATCCAAAGAAGGGGTGGGCCTCTAAGCCTAGGTTTCCGGTATTGTACTATACTGAACAGTTTCTCCTTTGCTTTCTCCAGGGCGTTAACTAAGACTTCCCCTTCTTGTTAAGTAAGTAAACAGCTACTACTAAGAACTTCCAACTCTTGCCTAAGGTGCTGGGAAAAAAAATTAAAATGGTGTTAATAACAATTGCTGGCATTGATTGAGAACTTACTGTGTGCTCTAGAATTAATACAGGTAATTGCTATGATTACTTTCCTGTTAAAAGGACAGAATCTGAGGGACACAGTGTTAACTTAAAGGAATTGTGGATGTGGTGATACAGTCAAATGAGCTAATAAAGAAGTTTGCACTACAAACAATTGGACATGATGAAAATAAGCATAAGAATATTAAATACACAGCTTAAATTCCCTGGTGAAAACTAAAACTAGATCCAATGGCTAAAGTGAGCGACAAAAGCAAACACCAATAGCTCTGGCTATGAAGGATGCTCACTGGAGTCTCTGAAACCCTGAAAGTCTAGATTCAAATCGATCTCAGCCTCACAGGCAGATGTGATCAGAAGAAAATGCTTGCTCAAGACAGAACTGTGTTAGATTTCTGGGCCCCATTTCCCGGAAGTAGGAAACAAGCTGCACAACTGCATAGAGCAGTCCAGATGCTCTGTAAGGAGAGAAGAAGGGGGCTTGGCATACTCACACATGGGGCCTGCAGTTGGCACTAAGGTCCTTCCATAAAACCACAGTCATCTTCAAAGTGCTGCAATCAGTTAAAAAGTGATGGGGTACCAAAGAAAGTCACCCTTGTCTTAGCTACATTTCAAGGGAGGTTGTCTCCAAGAATATGGGGGAGAAGGCCAAAGAATTCTATAATCAAAAATTAAAGCGTAAAGCTGTGACACAACTGTTTTAAAGTCAGACTCTTAACTGTATGATATTATCCAAGCTAAGAAAGTGGGTTACTGATACCATCCCAGGCATTTACAGAAGTAGATGTAAAACCACATAAACAAGGCCAAATCTGCATGTAGAAAAACTGAATTGAAACCCCCCCAAAAAACAAACAAACAAAAACTGAGGATGAACTTATGATTTATAAATTAGAAAATATGTGAGAAAACAATTTACCAATATTAAGCTTTAACCGATCTACCAAACAGAAAATTTAGTGCTCATCAATTTTTAATGAGAAATCTCAAAAATTAAAGCACAAATTATTAAAAATATGGAGGAAAATAATACGAAGAAAAACCATCTATGAAAAACAGATAACTAAAAAACTAGATAGGTTTTGCAAGAACCAGTAGAACTTGGCTCCATAAAGGCAGGCACATTTCTTTACATATAACACCTGGAGTTTCCATTAGTTTTCTGTAATTTAAAGAGGATAACAGTACTGCACCGAGAGTTTTTAAGACTGATTTAGAATCAGTTCTCAAGGTCACAGTTCCATTGCTGAGCAGTACCTACTGCACTCCAACTTCTCCACCATCTCTTGGGCTCCTGACCACTCTGCTCTGCCACTGCTCATTTCTGGAAGTTCCACCTTTCTTTATCACCCGCGGCCTTGCTGAGAAGATAGGTGGAAGCTAGCATGCCCCCCAGACCCATCTCAGGACGGGGGATACTCCCCAGCTCTGCGGTGCTGCCAGCAACAGCCCTCCTCAGCAAGCAGCTCTCTTGACAGTGCCCTCAGCTGAAGAATCCCCTCACCCCACATGACAGCACCTGCCAGGGATAGTTTGTACGCCATCCAAAGACTGACTGGCACGTGGAATAGAAGGACTCAATCCCCTCTTTCCAGTGGGACAGTGGTGAGAAGCACCCCCCCAACCAGGGTTAGGGCTCCCCAACAGGTCAGGTCTCACTTGAAACTGTGCGGCAGTCCTACTTCGCCCAGTTGTCCCCTGCTCTCCACAGAGACGCACTTTGTAATAAACTTCCTAAACGCCAATGTAAGTTGGCTTCCTGGGGAACCCAAACTATGACAGAGGACACCTAGGAAAAATAGCCAGCTACAGACAGGGAGTGAGAAGGGAGGAATGTTACAGTACCGAAATAAACAAGGAGAACAGCAGAAAGTATGAACATAATCTCTGGTGAGATCAACACAGTATTACAAGGAGGAGAAGGGGATGCCTTCAAAATGAATGAGATAACCAAAATAAACAAGAGAATCACAAAATTCTACCCTAACATTTCAAAGCATAATTTTACTTGAGATCTGAAAGAGATCTGAGAGGCTGGCGCCATTTCAACATCTGCCTGTTTTATTTATTTATTTTGGTACCGGGGATTGAACTCCGGTCCTTGTGCTTGCAAGGCAGGCCACCGAACCACTAAGCTAAATCCCCGGCCCTTTTTTTTTTTTTATTTTTTTTTACATCTGCCATTTTTAAGATAATACTGTACAAAAAAATACATCTATTGCTGCCTCAAAATAGCTTGCTAATAATAAATTAATAGGTACATTAATACACTGCTCCTAAAGTGACAAAATTCTGATACACTTTTTGCTTCTGAATCATTAATAAAGATATTAAGGAAGTTTTATTTAAGACTAATCTGGTTCATCATTAGGAATACTAGTAAAAATTTCACGGACTTATAAATCATGTACATGCACACTCCGAATCCCAAGGAATGGCACAGAGCAAATCTTATTAGCAAGGCTCAAAGATATTTGTTGATTCTCTTAATTATCTCAGATCGGGCAAACTGCCAGAAGTAGAAATATGAAATATTACACATTTTGAATGTGACAGTTTTAGTTCCTGCACATTCAGAGGAGGCTGCAAATTGTACATGTCGCGAATGGCAACCTCCTATACTTTGCGACCACAGAGACAAACGCAGATGAGAGAGGCTGTAATATAACCTGCTAAACAAGATCAGCAGATCCAAAATGACAGAAGGTTACTCGCAGAAAGTGTCGGGACAGCCAGGCAGAATGGATCACAATGCCGCAGCCCATACATCTTGGAAGCACTTGCAGACTCTCTCAGTTCCTGCATGCGCAGCTTGTTCATCATCTGGGCTTTTCTTCTTCCTCTCTTAAGAGTTACTAACTGTTTCATCTTCTCTAAAGCAACTCATCTTGCCCTTCCAACTTGAAAACCTTCTCTTTTTTTTTGATACAGGGGATAGAACTCGGGTCCTTGTGCTTGCAAGGCAGGCCACCGAACCACTGAACTAAATCCCTGGCCCTTGAAAAACCTTCTTGATGCGAGTATGAAATGAGGTTTCTATGGAAAAGTCACACTACATACTGTCAAATTTCAATTATGTACAAGCTATCTAAATTCATGTGGGTAGAATGACCAATCAAATGTTTTACCAATTTATCTGGGGAAGGGACATGTGGTATGAGTTATATCTGGGGAGAATGATATCTAACTACTAAGTGTTTCTAGGCATGCTAAAGGACAAACATGCATGGCGCTTAACTAAGAAGAAGAACCACTGTGTCCCTATTCAAACAGATTAAATGAGTCACTATGGGATGGAACTATTCTTTGGTCAAAGAACTTGAATTAAAGGTAATCTGCATATATATCTGTATGTATGTTTATGCATATATACATATACATGAAACATATACACATGTATGTGTATACACACAAATTTTATTGTGTATATGGGCACTTCTTAGAGTAAATATAAATAACAGGGCTAATGTAATTCACTCTTCCCATAAGCTATTTAGAAGAGTGAAATCATAATTAAGCACTCAAGTCTACAGATAGTATAAGTCTTCTTTAAATTTGAAAAAGATAAACTAAAATTATATGAGGGTATGTGTGTGTGTGTGTGTGTATAAACGAACAATATGGTAGCTTGTATTAAACTGGCCATGTTTAGAAATACACTAAGGGAAACAGAACACAAACTTACTTGATTAAAGATTTTAAATATCTTCAATCTTGGAAATTACAAAAATGTAAACTCTAATTTGGCAATTTCAATAAAAAACCCAACATTTTTTTTTTAAAAATAGTGAAAAAAAAAGAAAAAAAGAGATTTCTCCTTTCCGTTCATGTGCCATAACCAAAGAGAAGTTGTGAAGCATCGAGACCTCAGCACTGGGAAACCGAAGGCTTGTGTTCTGGCACCAGATCTGCTACTTAATCACCCTGTAACCTCGGGTGAGTAAGGTAACCTCTCCCAGCCTCCACTGCCCCACCTGTAAACTGAGAACAGTTTGTAAGGTCTCGTTCAGCTCTAATATGCTAGGATATTTTCCAACTTCAAATTTAAAAGAAGACAGTCTACTTCAATTTTGGCTAAAACACCATCATTTACAGTTTTATTGCTTTTGATGTCAAATGATAAATTTTCAGAAAAATGAAATTACCAAATAGAAAACTTACTGATGAATAAGGAAAAAGTATTAGTCACTATGAGGACATCTGTAAATTCACTTCACAAATGATCAAATAACACTTTTACAGAACCTTCCACTTAAATAGACTCTGCTGAAATACAACATGCACAAAGGATTTCTGACAGGCAGGAAGATGAAAGCGGTACCAATATTTCTCACCATTATACAGCTATCACTTGAACTCCTTATTTCACCTGACATGGGTGTGTGGCGCTCCACATAACCAGCTTGGTGAATGTATATCAAAAAAGACTGACAATGTTCCTGGGAACATTCCCCCAAACCTAACCTTTCCAGAAAATGTTAAACCCCATAAGCGCTAGAATTACTCTGTTTCTTAAATCCACAAGCACCCTAGGTTTCTTATGTGCCATTTGGCTAGCAAAAGGCTTTTCATCAAGAAGTACCAATCCTTCCTAGAGTACTTTTACCTCAACTCTGTAACAGAGTGAGGAAATTATCACAGACACTGGATAAAGTGGCTTGACCTCACCTATCTAGAATCACGTGCTACAGCACTGGGAAGGAAGGGAGGAAGAAAGGGACAGGAGCCAATCAGAAAATACAAAAAAGGAATTGTGTGTGCTGAAAAGGT